GCACACTGTAATGTCACAGAAAGGTTATAAGAGTATAAGTTTGTTTTATTCAAAACCTAAGACTATAAATAATTTAGAATTCAGAAAAAAATCACATATGAATTTTTTTTTTTTAATTCAGTTTATTCCAGTTTTAATTACCTTAATTTAAAAGAAATTAATTATGAGATTGGCTGCTAGTTTAAGATTTATTTTTCCAAAATCTACTAGGAATTCTTCACTAGTTTAAACCCTCTCAAAAATTACTTTTTTTTTTTTTTTGTACACCAGAAAAATGAAATAGAGCAGGTGCATGTTACATTATTGTCGCCATCTTGGTTGACAATAAAAAACATTCCTTATTAGCTTCTCTTGTATATCAACCAAGATGGCAGCTGTTTCATTGTCATTTATATCTCGATGAATTTTGCCTCACATAGTTGCACACACTCTATACACTTGATACCTCACACAAGGTCCTAATCCGTCTCAATGGGATCGCCACCTTATCGTGGTGAGGCGGTTTGCGTGTCCCAGTGACCCCTAGAGCTATGCCGGCGGGAGTCATGTACTCCTGTTAGGGTCACCCATGCCGGAAAGGTCGAAGGGTAGGGGCCAGACTAAGAGTGATCCCACAAGGCCCTATCAGTGCTAACCGAAGTTGCCCTACCAGGCTGGGAATCATCGTCAGACAGTGCCAAAAATTGCCGATTAACCTGACAGAGTCTAACCTTGTTGCCATTTATCGGTTGGCTGTTCTCTTGCTGAAGGTTGTGTGTAAGTTTACCGGGTGATGGCTCTTTGCAGATTTAATGGGAGTGCGCTGATGACGTAAATGACAGTCACTGCGAAGGTTAGTGTGAGTAGCAGTATAAATGATCATACCTTATACTATTCATGGGTGTGTACAACAGTGATAAGTTTACGGTTTACTTACAGCAACAAAACTATATCAATTAAAGAAAAAACAAATGGAAAACGTTTAATACCAAGAGTTCAGCACTGGAAGGGGGGAGGGGGGTGCATAGCCAGGAATTTCCTAAGGGGACCCAATTTTAAAAGTCCATTTTGTTCGATGCCCTAAAACCCCTAACTAAAAATTTWAAAAAACATAAAAAATTGTATGGTAAATGTAAATTATCATATAACTTCTAAAATGCCACAAAATTTATGGGAAAATGTCATTATCCAAAATTGACAGTTATCACAACCTGAAAATAAACCTTAAAATCAAATTGCAAAATCAAAAATATGTTACTTAAAGTGTTGTGCTTTAATCGTTCTATTTCATGATGACATCATTATTTAATGAGCCTTACTTACACGACAGCCATGTCGTCTGGAACAATAGATTCCTCTACGCATAGCCTCGCACTCACCCATGTGATGAATATATTAATACCTAATTGAATAAACTATAGACCCAGTCCCTTAGCAGACTCTGAATACATTAATACTTAATTGAATAAATTATAGACCCAGTCCCTTAGCAGACTCTGAATATATTAATACTTAATTGAATAAATTATAGACCCAGTCCCTTAGCAGACTCTGAATA